ATTTGCTTCGCATTGGAAGAGCTGGTTGATAAAAATATTACTAGGGATGGATCAAAGCCTCAAATGTTACTGGCTTCAATTACACAATCCCAATTTGTAGTTGAACTTATCACTATTAAGACTATTTTTGCCTTAGCAAAGGCTGTCACTGTGCAATTGCAGAATAAGGAGTGTGAACTCGGCCGCTGTGTAGATTACGCCGAAAATGTGAATACAGAACTAAATGATATGCGACGAAACGCAGAAGAAAACTTTACAAATATCTTCGAATTAGCTGAGTAGGAAGCAAATAAGGTTGGTTTTATTTTAGAAGTACCACGGAAGCGCAAAAACCTTTTTTCGTTGCTCATACTTTTATTCCCATACTGGATCATTTTTTGCATCAAATAAATGTGAGATTTGTCAATCACTAAAAACTACTAAAAAATATTCAGAACATCTTGCCTACGGAAATTCTTAAATAGGACCCTAATAGTTTATGCTAAATGGCACAAGATTTTGAAAAATATTGGCCAGATGACTATCAAACATCGACAGGCGATTTCATGGATTAGGAGGATTCCATTTTTAATTTAAAAATAATGTATAAAAAAATATACATAATATAATAAATTTAATAACTTTCCATATGTGCATATATTTATGTATATGCCTTAGAGTGGTTCATAAAAACACTCTTTTTGGATATTCATAAACGCTACATCAGAATATTGTTATTTGTGATAAAAAAAAGACACGTATTTTTTTTATTTTGAAAAAAAGTTTCCTTAGAGGTCGCGCTGGTCGGTTTTTTATAAAAACGCTGATGTTCTCAATTTTTTCATTTTCTTGATATGTTAAAATGCAGCTAAAAAAGTGGTTGTTACATATAATTACTCTGGTATTATTGGGGAACTTTCCCTTAATTACACACCTGTCTTGGACAATTAGAATGGGCCTAGTTCCCGAAAATATGCTCTCGAAAAGACACTAGTAAAATTAAAACGTTGATACTGAACGATTTACGCATTGTCATGGATTGGAACTTGTTACCAGGGGGTTTCTAGGGTTGCTAATTAGGAATCTGAAGTCAGTTTTTCGAAATTCAAAATGGCGGATCCAAAATGGCAGTCCATTAAAAAAAAAAATTATTGGATTTGTTCGAAACTCGGTACTCGAGAGTTTTTGGGGTCGCCGATTACGAATCTGAAGTAAATTTTTTTAAATTCAAAATGGCGGATCCAATATGCCGATCAAATTAAAAAAAAGTACTAAAATTAAAACGTTGATACTGAACGTTTTAAACATTGTCGAGGGTTAAAACACGTTTCCAGTGGGTTTCTGGAGTTGCTGATTACGAATCTGATGTCAGATTTTCAAAATTCATGCGTTGAATTAAAAAAATTGACTTCAGATTCGTAATCGGCGACCACGAAAATTATCGAGTGCCGTGTTTCGAACAAATCCAATCATTTTTAAAAAAATGGACCGCCATTTTGAATTTCGAAACACTGACTTCAGATCCCTAATTAGCATCCCCAAAAACCCCCTGGTAACAAGTTCCAACCCATGACAATGCGTAAATCGTTCAGTATCAACGTTTTAATTTTACTAGTGTCTTTTCGAGGGCATATTTTCGGGAACTAGGCCCATTGTAATTGTCCAAGTCGGGTGTGTAATTAAGGGAATGTTCCCCAATAATACCAGAGTAATTATATGTAAAAACCACATTTTTAGCTGCATTTTAACATATCAAGAAAATAAAAAAATTGAGAACATCAGCGTTTTTATAAAAAACCGACCACAGCGACCTCTAAGAAAACTTTTTTTTCAAAATAAAAAAACAGGTTTCTCTTTTTTATCACAACTAACAATAATTTGAGGTAGCGTTTATAAATTTAAAAAAAAAAAATTTTTTTGAACCTTTCTAATATGCATGTATCTGAATCTTAATTTATATATATATGTATGTATAACACTTTCCTAAAAAAATCAATTTAAGATTGCCAGCTATACGATATATATAAAAATGTTTCATACAAAGAGAAAGGTTGAGAGTAAGTTAATGCTATCATGTTAAAAGCCCGAAAAGTATTGTACTCTTGTTGAATGTTGCAAAAAGTAGACACATTAGGAATATTTTTTAGGTCCCGAAAATACCGGGATTTTTGGCAAATAATCCCGATATTTTCGTGATTTGTAATTTGCACTGGTGGCAATAATAGAAACTATTTTTCTTGACAAGTGTTGGCTACATTTCCTCTTTTATTTAAAAATTAATATTTTTTGTAAATGTCTAGCTCAGTATAAAATCAAAGAATCAATATACAGTGAAACCCGCTTAAGTACCCCCCGCTTAAATATCTAATCCGCTTAAGTAACCAACATTTTTGGACACCGCGAATTTTTTAATATAATCTGAAGAAAATCCCTCTCTTAAGTACCTCCCCGCTTATTTACCCAGCCCGCCTAAGTACCTAAATTTTTCGTGCCCCATTTACAATTTTTGTTAATTTAGTATTTATGTAAGTCAGCAAGAAGATGTAACTACATCAGTAATTATGTTCGCTTAAGTCGCATCGGGGTACTTAAGCGGGTTCTTTTAAGTACCCAACCCGCCTAAGTACCTCAAAAAACTGACATTTTTCGTGAGGTACTTAAGCGAGTTTTAATGCACTCGTGAAACGGTGGGCCAAATATAGTAAAATTGCGCTTTTAGTTTTTCACTCTGACGTTAGGAATTCAAAAATGATTTAAAAAATTCAGTGAAACGTGCTTAGAGAAAAAGTATGGGTATCAAACTAAAGTGAAAATTTTTTAGAATATAAACAGATTCAACTTTTTGGTACATAAAGACGAGTAAGTATTGTAAATGTCCTTTTAAAAATTTAGTCTTAAATATCCTCGAAATTTTGCCATATTAATTTTTGAAAAAATTATATATTAAGGATAATATCCTCGAATTTCGTCCTTCTAACTTTATCACCTTCAAAAATTACCTATTCGTCCTCGTGAATTCAAAGAATTTTAATTTTTTTTTAATTCTAAAGAAATTTCCTCTTTCTTTGGTAGTTTTAAATATTTTTGTTCTACATTGCACCGAAGTTTTTTAAATAATTTTTGGATTAAATAACATCTTTAAAACTACAAAGTCTTTTAAAATAAATCCTGAACTCAGAGAGAAAAACTAAAAACGCAGTTTTACTTTATTTGATCCATATTCGTATTTGTGTGTAAAATGACTATCGCACGGTGTTATATGTATAATGAGGTAGACATTTGTAAATAAATTTTAAACATTAAATAAACAAAAGGAATATAGACAAAACTGGTCGAAATAAAGCGTATGTATATTAGAGTGGTCCAAAAAAATAAAGTCAGAGTTTTAATGCCGGCACACCCTAGGATTGATCTATATCGAAAAAAATATACCCCAATTTTTTATTTTGAAATCAATAAATACTTAGGGAGTGCTCAAAGCGCTCAAAGTTTTCCATGTATTTTATATAGAGAAAAAACATCTTTTCGTAGAAAAAGTGTAGAATTCTTGAAAATCAATATTTTTCGATCGGAAAACTTTACTTATCTTCAGAAGACTCCCAGTAATAATACTCAATGGTTTTTTTAACAATTTTTTCATGGTAACTATATTTTATAGGTCCTCCAAAGCCCTTAGAAAATGCAATGGGGGGACCAATAAAAAATCTTTAATCATAAAAAATGGTTAGATAAACAATTGGTTTTTAATACTGGAAGTCTCCTGAAGAGAACCACAGTTTTCCGGTCGAAAAATATTGATTTTATAGAGTTTTACACCATTTCTACGAAAAATTGTTTTTTCTCCATATAAAATACTTGGAAAACTTTGTGCGCTTTGAGCACTCCCTAAATATTTTTTGATTTCAAAATAAAAGAATATGGGTATATTTTTTTTCGGTATATAACAATCCTAGGGGGTCGCGGCATTAAAAATCCGACCTTATTTTTTTTACATACATTTTTGGACCACTTTAATGTATATATACAATTCTTTCAACCACAAAATACATTTCTTTGGACTTTTGACAAAACAGCTTCTCTCGAGTGAGGTCATTTTCTCTTCAAAGCTGTAAATTTATGTTTAGTCATTAATAGGAATTGTTCAAGATGCTATCTTAATGAAAGTTAAATAAAAATATCAAATTTTTAAATGGAAGTTCCTTATAATTTAATCTAAATTCCAACCTACAGAAAGCACAGAGGTTGTTTCATCAAAACTCCACAGATTTGTTGACTTAAAATGTTTTGCATCGAGCTTTTTTCGACATACCTTAAGATACTTTTACACGCTAAGTATTATTAATTGCTTATACATTTAATTAATGTCTTTTTCTTAGTTACTTATGAAATAATTTTCACTTTAAATAAAAAAGCAGGTTTCAAATCCATTTATTTATTATTTATTTTATGGTAGGAGTGCTTCTCAAATAATATTAAAGCAATTTTTTCCATTTAAGTTGTTGAATATCTAAATCTCGGGATCCCAGGATTGAGATAACGATATCCCGAAAATCCCGGGATCGTAAAAAGCGAACAAAGTAACATACCTAGTACATATGTATGAAAAAAAATGTCATTGCATCCCTTGTACAAAATTGCGGCTATTACCTGAAATACATACAAGAAAATAAGCATGCGCTCATCATGTTTTCAAATTAAATCAAGCGTCTAATGCAATCTTAATATCATGGTAGTTAAGTATATATCATACATACATACATCTTAGGTATTTGATAATCGTAAACGAATAAACCTACAAGCTGAAAGGAAAATTGGTGTAATAATTTATTTTATGTTTGCATAAATACGTGCATATTTGAGTACAAATAATTTGTCTCAGCCAAAATTACTTCCAATAAAATTGAATATGAAAAAATACGATTTTTTACACAATGTATACTCAAAAATTCGCACGCATTGTTAACTTATGTATGTTAATATTTAGTTTCTGATTCATTAATCACCTCACTTGTTATATTTACATTTGAATGTCCGCATTCATGCGAGTAAAATGATTAAAAATATCTTCAGTACGTAGTCCGTATTACTCACTGCACTTATCAAAATTTGGCTACAATCAAATGCACAATTGAAAAATTGAAATTGCAAACAAAGATCTTTTATTTATTTAAAATATTTAACTCAGTAAACTAACAGCACTGGGTTCATAAGGCCCTTGAACAAAGCTAAAATATGGCTTCCTCCCTACATTCTTGGATTTCTACTGGGAAACGTTGTTGTTGACAATGAAACGATCAACCATTTACTAAACAAGTTAGCAACACAACAGAACAAAATATTGCTGGCAGCGGCAGCGGCGATGGTACTGGGACAGTATACGGTAATAGTGAGTGCAACCAATATTACGTATACGTAACCCCTAATCTGAGAGAACCAGGCGTATCTGCGGCTACATCCACAACAGTTGTTGTGCACTTGAACCATACACTCAATACAAGAAATCAACGATAATAAAAACAAAATCATTACTGTCAGGCAGCCGCAATAACAGCAATAATAACAGAAATAGCAATAGTAATGGCAACGGCGTATACAAAATGTTTTCAGTTGGCACACTTCTACATATTTTTTCCGTGTAAATCAGTGATGGAAAAGTATATAAGTTCCATTTTTGGCACTTCCATTCACAAGGGCACTTTTGGCACAATTCATTCAGTTCATAAATTACATATAAAAGCTTAGCCAGTATATAAAAAACAATCATATATTACTCAGAGATTCGAAAAGTGAAAATTAAAATCTGGTCAAAATGTCGCGCTGCTATTATTTCCCACATAGGTATGTATATGGATATACAGGTCCGAATAGCTATATAAGTGTTTTCCCCCTTTGTAATTGAAATATTGTGTTGTTTTACTATGATATTACTCTAATAATTCAATAAGTACATTAAATATACTATTTCTAAAAATACATATGTGGTTCTTAAAAAGCCTTAAAAGATAGCAATTTCCATTTTGTGGCACTTTCAACTCCTTTTTGGCACTATTTTTGCAGTCCATTAGGCACATTTTGAAATTTTGGAATTCCATCCCTGGTGTAAATGCACCCATACTCAAACACAAATAAATACAAATGCGTTACATTCTCACTTGCCACCAAAGCAGCAACGGGAAAACATTATTGAGGGCATTTGTTTTGTGTTTCTCAACATCCTTCTACCACTAGTGTTGATGTTGCTAATGCACACACGTAAACAGTGGAGAGCATAACCGAGACATCGAAAAATGCATGTTGTTCTTACATATATACGTTTTTATAAAAATATGCAAACAACTCCAAAATTTGATATTATATTCGTATTTCTGCTCTTATTTTACCATAGCTACAGTGACCAGATTTCTGTGGCCAAAAATCGGGACATTTCTAGAGCATCCAATCCGAACATACAATTTATTTGTAGAATAAAAAGACATAACATGTTTTAATGCAGTTATATTTAAAACGAAAAAAAAGTTAAAAAAACTTGATAATGATCCAAAAAATATATACAGGCAATATACACGGTGGCGCGAATGTAAATAGGGAAAAGACATTTTAGCAAGTTTTGGCCACATTTATTTGTTTAAGAAATGTTTATTATTTTTTATTAAAATAAAACTTACTATCTAAAAAACATGTAAGTCGAAATTTCAAACTTTGTAGAACATATACAAAAATTCGACGAATTCTAACAAATGTTGTCGTCCGCTGTTGTGTAGTGTATGTGTATATACGGTGACCAGATTTCGGTGGCCAAAGATCGGGACATTTCCAAAGCACCCAATCCGAAAATTTAATTTATTTTTAGAAAAAAATGACATAACATGTTTTAATGCAGTTATATTTAAAACAAAACAAAGATAAAAAAGCTTGAAAAATGATCGCAAAATGTCTACACACAATATATACAGTGGCGAGAGTGTAAATAGAGAAAATACATTTTAGCAAGTTTGGCCACATATTTTTGTTTAAGAAATGTTTACTATTTTTTATGAAAATATAAGTTACTATCTAAAAAACATTTAACTCAAAATTTCAAACTTTGTAGAACATTAAAAAAATCGACGAATTTTAACAAATGATGTCGGCCGCTGTGGTGTAGTGGTAACAGCAGCGAAGCAACCTCGCAAAAAATATAGAAAAAAGGCGTTTTCTTAACAACTGTCATCCCTCGGCAGGCATTGGCAAACCCCCCAGTGTATTTTTGCCATGAAAAACGGGTTCTCATAAAAATACTATCGCCGTTCGGAGTCGGCGTAGAACTGTAGGTCCCTTCGCCACAAATCGGAAGAGAAGCTCGGCCAAACACTAACATATGTGTAGCGACAACTTTTGTTCTTACTATTATGATCAAAATTTAAACCATTTTAATCAGATTTTCTAGAACTGTCTTGAGTGCGCAGTAGCCCATTAAATTTTAGTATAATAAAGTGTAAGTTTGAAGTAGCTTGGAGTTACCGTTGATTTTTGGCAATTTTTTGTTCTCGCATTTTCTTTCGTACCAAGTATGCTCAATAATTTTTTTGTATAAAGATAAATTTAACAAAATCCGAGAACTGTTTCTTTTGTAAAATTTGGATGATACTTTGTCGAACTTTGCTACTTTTTGTACAAAGGTTGAAATTTTGACGTACATGGTATTTGTTACCTAACGAGCCAAACTTTCATAAGAAATAACAAGCATTAAATAATGGAAAGGGGAATAACCAAATAATGCTAAAATGTCTGTTCCCTGTTTATGTTTTTCATGTCCATGGTTTTTTGGAGTGAATAAGTATTATTTTTTATAATTTCACTTAATTCAAGTTAGAATCGTTACATTAAAAAAAAACTTAATAAAATAATTATAAAAACATTAAAAAAAATTTTGACAAGAATGATAGACTGCAATATAACGAGAGTAACGGCTTGAACGAATAAAACATAACCAAAGATCATAGGAAACGAAAGTGCTGCCACTTTTGTACGAACAATTGTTTTTTGGCCAAAGTAGAGGGAGACTCTTGTTAAATTAATAAAGAAAACACTGAAAAACGGGACTTAATCGGTACAAATATGAAAAATCGGGGCACTTATACGTCCCGACTTTTAAAAAATATTCAGTGGGACAATTTTCACAAAATCGGAAATGTACTGCCAAAATCGGTACGAATGGTCACGGTGACCATAGCGGCATATATTGTTTCAGCGAGTTAAGGCGCTATTATGTAGTGGTTAGAAGTGCGCGCTACCATTCCGCAGGGCCTGGGTTCAAGCACGGTTCACCCAACATAAAAAAAATAAAACAGTTCTTTCTAAGCGGTCGCTCCTAGGCAGGCAATGTTAAACCTGCGAATGTATCGGTGCCATAAAAAACAGCTTCTCATAAAGATACAATCGTCGTTCGAAGTCGGCGTAAAACTATAGGTCGCTCTGCTTTGTGTGACAACCTCAAGGCACACACCACAAATCGGAGAAGCTCCGCCAAACACTATCAAATACGTAAGCGCCAATCTATTATATTTATTATATAATCTTGCCTTTGCGGTAGCCTTTGTTATGATAATGTGAAAGATAACAAGTGAAAAACCAAAGTTCGGGCGGAACCGAACATACGGTTGCCAGACGTACTGATTTTATCAGTACAGTACTGATTTTTCAACTCATGTACTGATTTTATTCATTTCTTCAATCAGTACGCTAATGTCCTGATTTTTCAAAATTTGTACTGATTTGTACTGAATTTTCTATTCAAACAAAATACTTTAGTGTTTTCTTAAGGTTTTTACATGACGTTGGAACTTCCTTAAACTGAAATGTAAAAAATAAGAAGAAAATAATTTAATTATAGTTGACATGTTTTAGATAATGTTTGATAAGCCCAAGAAATTAATACAACAAAAAGATCAATCGTTTTATGGGCATATCGCCGGATCGTTACATACCAGTTGCGATAATATGATGGAGCTTAAATTATTTAAAAAGAAGGCTTAAATTTTTGTCGAGTGTTGTTAGGTATATCGAAAATACCTTTCAGTTTAATAACAATAAATTTCAATATTCGAATGGCTTTTGCCTATAACTTACAACTCCTTTTTCTCAATTTACTGACTTTGTAAAAGAGTTTTGCATACAAGACATAGAGTTAGATACTCTTTTTAGCGAATTCTTAGGGCTGGTTTCTGCAATTCAACTTAACTTAGTTAAGCCAATTTTCTTGACTTAGTCAAGAATAAGCTGTGCAAAACTAAGTAAAGTTGAGTTGAAGAAACCAGCCCTTAGTCTTTCTTAGGTTTTGCGTAGTTGAAAAATTATTTAAGCCATAAGGAAATATAGATGAACTCCTTAAAAAGTGGTACTTTTTCACAGTATGAGATGATCTTAAGAATAAAGTTAGTTTCCTGGCGCAAAGAGAGGAACCGGCTTCTAATTCCAATTTTTGAAAGTGAACTTCAAATTAAAAGTAATTTTAAAATGAAATGTATATATTTCTGTGACTATCTAAACACAGAAAATGGGAACGATCTCATTATTGCTATTTAAAAAGTCACAAATATAAAATAATTTATATGCTCCGGTGTATAGTGATGTGTACACTCATGTTAGAATGAATAACACTTTTATTTTTTATGAACTATATTTTATTTATATACCAAAATATTGTTAAAAACAAAAACTCAGGCGTTTTAAATTATTTTCTGTTACTTATATTCATTATTTTGCTTTGAATAAAAATGTGCTGAAAAGTACTGATATTTTTAGCATGAAAAAGTCTAATGTACTGATTTCGCGCATAAAAAATCTGGCAACCCAAACCGAACATTAGATACCCCTTTCAGAAAACTACCGCTACATGGTAAGCAGTGGGGGTTTTATCCCTATTTCAAACATCTTCGATAAACTTATATAGTTATATGTTGGCGGTATCACGCCCATTTTCCAAAATTCCATAATAATGTTATTTCTTTTCAAGGGATTGTTGTTATTATACATTTTGTGTAAATTAGCGTCCTTAACCCTCCAGTAGGGGGGGCCTCTACTTGAGACGTTAGTACTCGCGCAGTTTACTTATGTAGAACATTTTTAATATAAGGTTTTCAAAGGAAATCTTTATAATTTGAAAAATATTTTTAGGTACTAATAAGAAAGACTATTATATTATATTATTATAAAACTAAAACAAACAAAATATAACCAATTTAAACATATTAGGCGTAATTTTAGTCCGATTTCAATAATTTTCAGCATTTTGCTTTTATATGGCAAGCACAATAATCATTACGAGTTTGGAACAAATGGTTCGAACGGTTACCAAGATACACATATGTGGTGGTCATAATTGGGCGGTGCGACGCCCATTTTCCAAAATTTTATCATAAACGTATTTTGTGCTAAAGAATTATTGCAAACATCAACTTGGAATAAATTAGCTTCGGTATTTACTGATTTATCGAGAGACTAGATCGCCCTCACCCGCTTCGCTGAGTGTACGAAATTTCTATGTGCTACATTGAGTAAAATTTATTTCAAGAAAACTCAATTAAAAAACAGGAGGTTTAAAATTTGCTTAATCATCTTCAAAATATTTTCAAACGAAAACTTTCTTAAACTTCTCACTTGTCATACTTTTTCAACTAACTTATACACTGAACTCAATTTGAGATTTTA